AGACAGCCCGTCCCCCCAAATGTATACACACTTTAAAAGCTGATAGCTCCACTGATGTTTTTTCCACCCCAGGTTAAACTCACTGGAATTAATAAGGGAAGTCCAGCTAAGCTTTGAACAAAGGAAATTCATTTTGAACTGCGACTGGAAGTGCAAAGATGGCTTAGGAGGGAGTTACAAAGAGTCGAGTTAAAGATAAGTTTGAATCCGATGGAACTGTTCAGAAAGGCAGGCTTTCCCACAAAGATTGCATGGAGTGATTGTGAGGCTGCATTCAAATTACTTACTTATTTAGGCAATACCTCGTTGTCCGAGTAGGGCAAGGCCAAGCCTCGTTGGCCCAGGCTTGGCATTAAGACCGGAGTTCCCCTTGGAGTAAGGTATACATTAAGAAGAGGGACTCTCATTGGTCCACAAGTGGCATTAAGGCTGGAGGGGCTCTGATCAGATGCACTATTCCGCAATCTCCAAGGTTTGAGTGTGTCTACCTGAAAGTGGGAACCCGAGACAGCCTGGGGATCCTGCTGGTGTACCGTCCACCTCGCGACCCGGCAGTTTCCCTGTCTGAGCTAGCGGAGGTGGTCTCAAATTCGGCCCTGGCCTCCCAACAACTTTTAGTTTTGGGAGATTTCAACATCCATGCCGAGACCACATTGACAGGCGCAGCTCAGGATTWCATGGGTGCCATGACGACCATGGGGRTGACTCAAGTAATATCTGGCCACACACATCAGGCYGCACACACACTGGACCTTGTCTTCATTGTGGARGGTGGAARAGTCAGAGTGGAAAAACAAAACATCCTTCCATTAAGGCTGGAGYTCCCCTCGGAGCAAGCCATCCATTAAGAAGAGGGMCTCTGATCAGAWGCACTATTSCGCAATCTCCAAGGTTTGAGTGTGTCTACCTGAAAGTGGGAACCCGAGACAGCCTGGGGATCCTGCTGGTGTACCGTCCACCTCACGACCCGGCAGTTTCCCTGTGTGCTAGCGGAGGTGGTCTCAAATTCGGCCCTGGCCTCCCAACAACTTTTAGTTTTGGGAGATTTCAACATCCATGCCGAGACCACATTGACAGGTGCAGCTCAGGATTTCATGGGTGCCATGATGACCACGGGGTTGACTCAAGTAATATCTGGCCCCACACATCACGCTGGACCTTGCTTTCATTGTGGACGGTGGAACATTCAGAGTGGAAGAACAAAACATCCTTCCGTTGTCATGGTCTGACCATCATCTGATCAGTTTAAGATTAACCGCACCCGCTAACCTCCACAGGGGTGGTGGACCCATTAAGATGGTCTGCCCCAGGAGGCTTATGGATATAAATAAAAATGTAATGTTCGTTTGTGGGATTAAGAGAACTCAAAAAGCACTGGACGAATTGACATCAAATTTGGACACAAGACACCTAACAACCCAATGTGTGTCCTTCACTCAAAAAAATTGATTTTGTCATTTGGGAGTTGTAGTTGCTGGGATTTATAGTTCACCTACAATCAAAGAGCATTCTGAACCCCACTAACGATGGAATTGAACCAAACTTGGCACACAGTTCTCCCACGAACAACAGAAAATACTGGAAAGGTTTGGTGGGCATTGACCTTGAGTTTTGGAGTTGTAGTTCACCTACATCCAGAGAGTGCTGTGGACTCAAACAATGATGGATCTGGACCAAACTTGGCTTTAATATTCCATATGCCCAAATATGAACACAGATGGAGTTTGGGGGAAATAGAATCTTGACATTTGGGAGTTGTAGTTGCTGGGATTTATAGTTCACCTACAATCACAGAGCATTCTGAATCCCACCAATGATAGAATTGGGCCAAACCTCCCACACAGAACCCCAATATGGTCCACAGCAACGCGTGGCAGGGGACGGCTAGTATATATATATGTGGTTTTGTGCATGGTTTGTCCTTTTTGGTTTTTTTTTGGCTTTTTAAGTCCCTTCTGCTGTGTTTTTCAGTGTTTTCATGAGTGATGGTCACTCGTTGGCCTGATAGGTGTCTTGTGTCCAAATTTGGTGTCAATTTGACCCGTGGTTTTTGAGTTCCGTTAATCCCACAAAAGAACATTACATTTTTATTTATTTAGACTAGCCGTCCCCTGCCACATGTTGATGTGGCCCTCATGGGGGTTCTGTGTGGGAGGATTGGCACAATTCCATTGTGGGGGGGGGGGGGTCAGAATGCTCTGCGATTGTAGGTGAACTATAAATCCTAGCAACTACAACTCCCAAATGTCAAGATTCTATTTTCCCCAAACTCCACCAGTGTTCACATTTGGGCATATTGAGTATTCGTGTAGAGTTTGGTCCAGATCCATCATTGTTTGAGTCCACAGTGATCTCTGGATGTAGGTGAACTACAACTCCAAAACTCAATCCCACAAACGAACATTACTTTTTTATTTATGTAGATGCAAACACATATATATACAAATATATAAACACACATATGCACACACAAAACACATATACACAGACTGGGCCACAGCGATGTGTGGCAGGGGACAGCTAGTATGGGATCCATACTAAGTGATAAATACCAAAGGCATGGGGATTTGAGGGGTCACATGAGGTCATGAATGGCCTTTGTGTTTTCTTGGGGTCCTTTCTTCCCAAAATATCAGGTGCCTTGCAGTGCTTTCATGGAAACTGAATGCCCGGTATTCCTGGAAGCCGAATGCCCAATATTCCCAGGTTTGGTTGCCAACTGAGACAAAGGTGTGGCAGAGAAGCAGCCTCATCAGCAAACGCCTGATTGAGGATGCTCCGGTTTCGTCCCCAGCGGCCGAAAGAGGGCTGTGGCCCCCAAAGGGCGAAAGCAAGAAGGAGAAGCAGCCAGGTGAGTCAGGTGAGTCAGGTGCAGCACTTCTCCCCATCTCTAGGAAAACTCTTAAGGAGGAGAAAGGAAACTCTCGGCTCTTTAGCAACCAGATCAAAAGCTACTGGAGTTGCATCATTATTATTATGCATATTGCTTGGCACAACCGGGCCAAAGCTATAACGCTCCAGAATGAACATGCGCTCTTGCATGTTCCAAGTGCAGGAGATGGAAAGGGTGCATCTGCACTGTAAAGTTAATGCCGTTTGATAGCACTGAGTCCTGATGGTCGTCCTTTTGGAAGTCTTGAATTGTGTCTATCTGCCTGGCACAATTGGGGTGCACTGGGTGGCCTTTGGGGGCCTTTATTCAACTCTAGGCATCTATGAGGCTGGATAGCCACCTGTCAGGAAGGGTTGAATTGTGTCTATCTGCCTGGCACAGCTGGGGTATACTGGATGACCTTTAGGGGTCCCTATCTGACTCTAGCATTCTATGAGTCTGAATGACCTTCTGCCGGTAGGGCTTGAATTGTGTATAGGTTCCTGGCACAATTGAGATGGACTAGATGACCTTTGGGGGACCTTTCCAACTCTAACATTCCATGAGACTGGATGGTCTTCCTTTGGGAAGTCCTGAATTGTGTCTATCTGCCTGGCACAATTGGGTTGGACTGGATGACCTTTGGGGGACCCCTATTCAACGCTAGTATTCTATGAGTCTGTCAGGAAGGTTTGTGGCTTGACAGAACTGGGTGGATTGGATGACCTTTGGGGACTTCTATCCAACTGTAGCTTTCTATGAGGCTGGATGGCCATCTGTTGGGAGGGCTTGAATTTTGTCTTCCTGCTTGACAGAATTGGGGTGGACTGGATGCCCTTTAGGGGCCTCTATCCGACTCTAGTATCTGATGAGTCTGGATGGCCATCTGTCAGGAGGGCTTTGAGTGTATCTATCTATCAGCAGAAGGGGGTTGGACTGGATGCCCTTTGGGTGCCCCTTCAAAAACTAAGATTTTATGAAGCTGGATGGCCATCTGTTGAGAGGGCTTGGATTGTGTCTTCCTGCTTGACAGAATTGGGGTGGACTGGATGCCCTTTGGGTGCCCCTATCCGACTCTAGTATTTGATGAGTCTGGATGGCCATCAGTCAGGAGGGCTTGAACTGTATCGATCTGTCATAGCAGAACGGGGTTGGACTGGATGCCCTTTGGGGAACCCTTTCAAAACCTAAGATTTTATGAGGCTGGATGAGCCAACTGTAGTTTTCCATAGGTCTGAATGATCCTCTGTCAGGAGGGCTTGAATTGTGTCTACCTGCCTGGCACAACTGGGGTGGACAGGATGACCCTTGGAGACCCCTTCAAAACCTAAGATTTCATGAGGCTGGAAGGCCATCTGTTGGGAGGGCTTGAATTGTGTCTTCCTGCCTGGCACATCTGGGGTGGACAAGATGACCCTTGGAGACCGCTTCAAAACCTAAGATTTCACGAGGCTGGACGGCCATCTGTTGGGAGGGCTTGAATTGTGTCTACCTGCCTGGCATATCTGGGGTGGACTGCATGACCTTTGGAGACCCCTTAAAACCTAAGATTTAATGAGGCTGGAAGGTCATCTGTTGGGAGGGCTTGAATTGTGTCTTCCTGCCTGGCACATCTGGGGTGGACAGGATGACCCTTGGAGACCCCTTCAAAACCTAAGATTTTATGAGGCTGGATTAGTCTTCTGTTGGGAGGGCTTGAATTGTGTCTATCTGCCTGGCAGAACTGGGGTGGACTGGATGACCCTTGGGTGCCCCTTTCCTTTCCAAACCTAGCATTCTATGAGTCTGAATGACCTTCTGTTGGGAAGCCAGTTGTGTCTGTCTGCCTGGCACAATTGGGGTGGACTGGATGACCTTTGGGTGCCCCTTTCCTTTCCAAATCTAGCCTTCTATGAGTCTGAATGACCTTCTGTTGGGAAGCCAGTTATGTCTGTCTGCCTGGCACAATTGGAGTGGACTAGATGACCTTTGGGTGCCCCTTTCCTTTCCAAATCTAGCCTTCTATGAGTCTGAATGACCTTCTGTTGGGAAGCCAGTTGTGCCTGGCACAACTGGAGTGGACTAGATGACCTTTGGGGAACCCTACCCAACTTTAGGACTCTATTTCTCCCTGAATTCTTCCTCATTCGTGGCTTTGTCCACATGCAAAGCAGGAGTGGCCTTGCCAAGGCTCCCTTTGTGTCCCTCCTCTTCCTCAAAGCCTTGGAGTTGGTGGTGAAGCAAGAGCGAAGCATCCCTTCCAGACGCCCAGAGTGAGCTCACAGGTCCGGTTGAGCAAGAGGCGCGGTGGCTTGCTTGCTTCCTTTGCATGGCTGACTGTCGTGTGTGGCACAACACACAGTCTCCCTTTCTCCTCCTCCTCTTCTCCTCTATCAAGGTGAGGGATCTGCAAAGCTGGACAGGTAGATTCCTGTGGAATGGTTAACCTGAGGCCGTCTCACCTGGAGCCAATCACCGCAGCCGAGCCGCCGAGCCACTAAAGAACCCTGTCGCACTTGGCCACATCCTTTTCCGAGAAAGCCTCTGCTTGGTTTGGACGGACCTCGCATTGAGGCATCCTTTCAGCATGACCTTCTTTGGCATGGCACCTTTGAACGTTATCCTCCTCCTCTTTTGCGTCTCTCTGTCTTCCTGCACGGATCCGGCGCTGATGGAGATGAAAGCCTTGCTGTCTTTGGAGCGAGACGGCACTCTGACCCGGAGCTCCGTGGACGCCTTGTTAAATATCGCCCGGGACCGTGTGCAATGCTCCGCAGTGCCGTGCGGAAAGGTAAAGAAGGTGCCATTGGGGGAAGACAGGGATTGGGAAAGACATACCACAGGTGTGCTGCCAATCGGGTCAAACTCCAACCTTGGGTGCAAAGGGTACAGCCGCTGCTTCAGCAAAGAAGTCTCCGTCGTCTCAATTGTTTTGATTAAGAGACATGAGAGACCCATTTAACTATTGGATCCAAGATGCCACGTTGAGGAGGAGAAGCTAAAGGCCAACTTGGGCCCTCCAGGTGTTTTGGACTTCAACTCCCACAATTCCTAACAGCCGGTAGGCTGTTAGGAATTGTGGGAGTTGAAGTCCAAAACACCTGGAGGGCCCAAGTTGGCCCATACCTGATCCAGACCCTCTGAATACTTGCGACCTCTTCTGATCCTCATTTGAAACTATTATTTATTGTTTAGTCCTTACTTTGAAAATAGTTGCCAGACTCCGGAAAGTTTGTTTCCGTGCCACAAACTACATCAAATTGGTTGAGACTCTTACGAGCTAATTGTCAGATTCTGGAAAGTTTGTTTTCATGCCGCAAACTGTGTTGAATTGGTTGAGACTCACTACAACGAATTGGTTGAGACTCTTACGAGCTAATTGTCAAGCTCCGGAAACTTTGTTTTCGTGCCACAAACTATGTTGAATTGGTTGAGACTTTTACGAGCTAATTCTGGAAAGTTTGTTTCCGTGCTGCAAACTATATTGAATTGGTTGAGACTCTTACGAGCTAATTGTCAAACTCTGGAAAGTTTGTTTTCGTGCCACAAATTATATCGAATTGGTTGAAACTCTTACGAGCTAATTGTCAGAGTCCGGAAAGTTTGTTTTCGTGCCGCAAACTATATCGAATTGGTTGAGACTCACTACAACGAATTGGTTGAGACTCTTACGAGCTAATTGTCAAGCTCCGGAAAGTTTGTTTTCGTGCCGCAAACTATATCAAATTGGTTGAGACTCTTACGAGCTAATTGCCAAACTCTGGAAACTTTGTTTTCATGGCACAAATGATATTGAATTGGTTGAGACTCTTACGAACTAATTGTCAAACTCTGGAAACTTTGTTTTTGTGCCGCAAACGATGCCGAATTGGTTAAGACTCCTATGAGCTAATTGTCAAACTCCGGAAAGTTTGTTTTTGTGCCGCAAACTACGTCGAATTGGTTGAGACTCTTACGAGCTAATTGTCAAACTCCGGAAAGTTTGTTTTCGTGCCGCAAACTATGCTGAATTGGTTGAGGCTCTTACAAGCTAATTGTCAGAGTCTGAAAAGTTTGTTTTCGTGCCGCAAACTATATTGAATTGGTTGAGACTCTTACGAGCTAATTGTTAGAATCTGGAAAGTTTGTTTTTGTGCCGCAAACTATATCGAATTGGTTGAGACTCTTACGAGCTAATTGTCAAACTCCATAAAGTTTGTTTTAATGCTGCAAACTATATCGAATTGGTTGAGACTCTTACGAGCTAATTGTCAGAATCCGGAAAGTTTGTTTCCGTGCCGCAAACTACATCAAATTGGTTAAGACTCTTACGAGGCAATTGTCAAACTCTGGAAAGTTTGTTTTCGTGCTGCAAACTATGTCTCTTTGTTCCTGGGTTATCAATCTCATTTCCTAATTGGTTCCATCATAGAAACAGGGGAAAAGTTTATGAAACGGTACTAACTTTGTTTCTGCAGAAAGGACTTCGTTTGGCACATTTTGCTCTGGTTTCCCAATGACTATCTCATCATTGGGTTTCAACCGACCAATAGGTTGAGAAACGCTGCTCTATGATGAGCTATCCATTGGGAAACCAGAGCAGAATGTGCCGAACGAAGTTTGTCCGGTTCCATAAACTTTTCCCATGTTTCTATCACAGAAGAATTAGGATAACCCAAGAACAAAAAGAAAGAAGGGATTCGACTAGATGGCTTCTTGGGGTCCCTTCCAACTGTGTGGTAGGACATAAGAGAGATGGTGATTTGGTGGAGAAGGTCAAGCCAATGCTGGACACTCAAAGGAACAGATGCCCCCTCACCTTAACTTGGCAAAGAGGAATTATCACCTGCACTTCAGAGAATCCTAGAATTGGAAGGGACCTTCAAAGGCCATCTAGTCCAACCCTCTTCTGCCAATCAGGAAGACACAATCCAAGCCCTCTTGACAGATAGCTACATAGGCTCATAGAATCCTAGAACTGGAAGGAACCACCAAAGGCCATCCAGCCCAACTCCATTGTGCTAAGCAGAAGACACGATCCAAGCCATCCTGACAGATGGCCATCCAGACTTATGGAATCCTAAATTAGGAAGGGACCCCCAAAGGTCATCTAGCTCAACTGTCTTCTGCCAGGTAGGAAAACACAATCCAAGCCCTCCTGACAGATGGCCACACAGGCTCATAGACTCCTAGAGTTGGAAGGGACCCCAAAGGCCATCCAGCTCAACCCCATTCTGCGAAGTTGAAAGACATGATCCAAGCCCTCTCAACAGATGGCCACACGGGCTCATAGAATCCTATATTAGAAATGGATCCCCAAAGGCCATCCAGCCCAACCCCATTCTTTCATGCTTGAACACACAATCCAATCCCTCCTGACAAATGGCCACACAGGCTCATTTGGGTCTCCCTTCCTAGAGTTGGAAGGGACACCCAAAGGCCATCCAGCCCAACCCTCTTCTGCCAGGTAGGAATACACAATCCAATCCCTCCCGTCAGATGGGCTTCCAGCTAGGCTCATTGAATCCTAGATTAGGAAGGGGTCCCCAAAGGCCATCCAACTCAACCCCATTGTATCAGGCAGGAAGACACAATCCAAGCCCTCCTAAGAGATGGCCATCCAGCTTCTGATTGAAAACCTCCATAGGAAAGACTCCACTGGACTCCATATCCCACTGCTGAACAACTCATACTGTTGCCTAGTTCTTCCTAATGTTTAAATGGAATCCCTTTTCCTATTGTAAATCCATTGCGTTATGTTGTCCTAATCTCCAGGGCAGCAGAAAACAATCTCTCTCCATTCTTCCCAATGGGACAGCCTTGCAAATATTTACACTTCTTTCAGCCTTCTTTCCTCTAAGCTAAATAAATACCACCAGCTTCTCATAAGGCTTGTCTTCCAAACGATATATCTATCTATCTATCTATCTATCTATCTATCTATCTATCTATCTATCTATCTATCTATCTATCTATCTATCTGCCACCCCCTGCCACAAGTTGCTGTGGCCCAGTGTGTGTATATGTGTTTTGTGTATATATTTTTTGTTTTTTGACTTTTTAAGTCCCTTCCGCTGTGTTTTTCAGTGTTTTGATGAGTGATGGTCACTCATTGGCCTGTTAGGGGTATTGTGTCCAAATTTGGTGTCAATTCGTCCAGTGCTTTTTGAGTTACGTTAATCTTTTATATAGATAAAGGTAAAGTTTTCCCCTTGACATTAAACCTAGTTGTGTCCAATTCTGGGGGTTGATACTAATCTCCATTTCTAAGCCAATGAGCCGGTGTTGTCCGTAGACACCTCCAAGGTCATATGACCGGCATGACTGCATGGAGCACCGTTATCTTCCCTCCAGAGCGGTAGCTATTGATCTACTCACATTTGCATGTTTTTGAACTGCTAGGTTGGCAGAAGCTGGGGCTGATATCAGGAGCTCACCCCACTCCCCAGATTTGAACTGCTGAGCTTTTGGTCAGCAAGTTCAGCAACTCAGTGGTTTAACTTGCTGCACCACCGGGTGCGCGTGCTCTTTCTCTCCCATATATATATATATATACACACACACACACACACACACTGTCCCCTGCCATGCGTTGCTGTGGCCCAGTCTGTGTTAATGTTTTGTGTGTATATATATTGGTGTATATATGTGTGTGCATATATATAATCGCCTCTAGTTGCCTCCGGGCTGAGAGGGGCAGTATACAAATATAGTACATAATAATAATAATAATAATAATAATAATAATAATAATAATAATGTGTGTATATGTGTATATATGTGTGTATATGTATGTATGTATGTGTGTGTGTGTGTGTATTTCTGTGTTTATATGTGTGCTTGTGTATATGTGTGTGTGTGTGTATGTATATCAGTGTATGTGTATATGTATATATTGTTTATTTTGGGGGCGGGCGTTAAGTCCATTCTGCTGGGGGGTTTTGGTGTGTTTTTAGGGGTGATGGACACTAGTGGGACTGTGTATTGTGTCAACATTTTATGTCAATTCATCCAGTGGTTTCTGAGTTATGTTTCTCCCACAAATGAACACACACACACACACACACACACATATATATATATATACACACACACACACACACACAGAACACATATACACAGACTGAGCCACGCGTTGCTGTGGCTCAGTCTGTGTATATGTGTTCTGTGTGTATATATATATGTGGGTATATATTTGTGTATATGTGTGTTTGCCTATATATGTGTGGTTTCGTACATGTGTTGTAGTGCCTTTTTGCTTTTTTTGGCTTTTTAAGTCCCTTCTGTTGTGTTTTTCAGTGTTTTTTATGAGTGATGGTCACTCGTTGGCCTGATACATGTATTGTGTCCAAATTTGGTGTCAATTCGTCCAGTGGTTTTTGAGTTATGCTAATCCCACAAACTAACATTACATTTTTATTTATATTTACTAGCTGTACTCGCCATGTGTTGCTGTGGCTAATCTTCCCTCCCTCTTTCCCTCCCTCCTTCCTTCTTTTCTTTTCCTTTCCTTTCCTTCTCTCCTTCCTTCCTTCTCTACCCTTTCCTTCCTTCCCTTCCTTCTGCTTTCCTCTCCTTCTCTCTTTCCTTCTTTCATTCTCTCCTGCTTTCTCTCCTTCTTTCCCTCCTTTCTTTGCTCCTCTTTCCTTCCTTTCCTTTCCCCCCCTTTTTTTCTCTCCTTCCTTCTCTACCTCTTTCTTTCCTTCCCCCTGTCTTTTCCTTCCACTTTCTCTCCTTCTTTCCTTCTCTACCTCTTTCTTTCCTTCCCCCTGTCTTTTCCTTCCACTTTCTCTCCTTCTTTCCTTCTCTACC